AGAAAATAGAGGGAGGGAGAGAGAGAGAGAAGAAGAAGAAGAAGAAGAAGAAGAAGAAGAAGAAGAGAAGATGAAGAGAGGAAGAGGAAGAGGAAGAGAAGAGGGAAGGGAAGGGAAGAGAGACAGACAGACAAGAGCAGAGAGAAAGAAAGAAAAACAGACAGAGAGAAAGAAAGAAAGAAAGCGAGATGAAGAAATAAGAGAGAGAGAGAGAGAAAGACAAACGTTAAAATGTTAAGCAACCCCCCCCTCCCCCCGTGTCGTCGGATGGGATGAGCCCTCAAACAGCCTCGCCAGACCACTTGCCCTAATTGCCCCCGAAACCGAATTAAGAGAACCGAATTTCCCCGTGCTTGCTACGAACGGCCGGTAATGAAGGGATTCTACCGGCCATCGTCTCTATGGGAGTCATAAAAGATAAGCAAGGCGATCGGCCGGCCGAAAGACACATGAGCGGAGTCATTTAATTTTTTTTATTTGTATTTATTTATTTACTTATTTGTTCTCTCTGTTTATTATTATTATCTTTTTTTTTTGGGGGGATATCGTTTGCCATTTCCTGTTTTTCTTTTTTTTTTTCTTTTTTTTTGGATACGTTCTATTCCTGTAACGAGATGGAAGGGAAAGAAAGAAAGAAAAGAAAGAAAGAAAGAAAAATGAATAAAAGGAGCGTTGTGTACCAGGCCCTTCGACCCTCCTCGACCTACGGATGCCAAGAAGATGAATGACGCGAGAAGAGCGTCGTGTGTGAATGGACGTGCGTGAATGCCGTGACCCGGAAATAGCTGGGATGTGAGGGTTGTGGACACGCGTGACGAGAACCGCGCATCGATAACTGAGGAACGGAATATGACATGATGTGCGATCATGTGAGAACGGGATGTAACATGATGTGCGATCATGTGAGAACGGAATATAATATGTTCGATCACTGAAGAACAGAATATAACATGTGCGATCACTGAACAGAGTATAACATGATGTGCGATCAGTTAAGAACAGAATATAATATGTGCGATCACTGAAGAACAGAATATAACATGTGCGATCACTCAAGAACAGAATACAACACGGATAAGTGTATTCCATTATCAGATCACAACAGATATCGATTAAACGTGATGACGATACGGATTAAAATCGCATTAGCCATAATTAATAACCTCATGATTGACTTTTAACACAGATCATTAAACGGGGATGCATAATGACCCATCCTTACTGATCGAAAGCCTATTATTTTCTTTATTACCCCCCAAAAAAGCCGCACGTTGAATGTTAAAAATGGAACACGGGTTTAGCGGTGCAGCGTCCACAACTCAGGTCGAAACACCGCAGCTGCCACCGCATGCTGTTGATTATAAAGAAAAGAAAGATAAAATATACGATGATTATAAACTCAAAAAAGAAAGAAAATAACGATCTGGCGCAGACGATTCAGATCCTCGGAGGAAGTCTGGTAACGGGATGATAAAAGAGAGATGAGAGAGAGAGAGAGAGAGAGAGAGAGAGAGAGAGAGAGAGAGAGAGAGACGAGAGAGAGAGAGAGGAGAGAGCGAGAGAGAGATAGAGAGATGAGAGAGAGAGAGAGAGACTCGTAGAGGAATAGAAAGAGAGAGAGACCGTAGGAGAAAGAGAGAGAGGTAGGAAAGAGAGAGAGAGAGAGAGAGACCGTAGGAGAAATAGAGAGAGAGAACGCAGAGAGAGAGAGAGAGAAGAGACCGAGGACCGTAGGAGAGAGAGAGACAAACAGAGAGAGAAAGGAAGGGCTGGCGGTAGGGTAAGTACATAAAAATAAGCTTTTAAACCAGAAGATATATGTACCGCAGCGCAGAGATGTGAGTTGGCGGCGAGGTGGTGCCAAAGTGTTGGGTAAGACAGGGTTAAAGAGGAGACATAAAGAGTAAAGCTGTCAGGGAGTGTGTTGGTTTGTGCGTGCGAGAGAGAGGAGAGGGAAAGGGGGTGAAGGAGGAAGAAGGTGAAAGAGGGGAGGAGGTGAAGGAGGGGGAATTGAAGAGGGAAAGAAGCAGAGGAAGGAAGGAGAGTTAGATAGATAGAGAGAGACAGACAGACAGACAGACAGACAGACAGACAGACAGACAGAGACAGAGAGAGAGATTCAGTTTGATCAAAAGAAAGAAAAAAAAAAACAAGAGAAAGAGATAAAGGAGCAAGGGACACAAGAAAAAAAAATAGAAGGGATAGATTTATTACCGATAAACACGGAAAGTCTATTTTATCTCATGGAAACAACTTCTATGAACGACAAAGTTGTACGAGATGACATGTCACGGACAGTTGGTAGTGCCATAAGCGTCATGGCGAGGCAAGTCATGTCACTCAGTCTGGCAATGCGCATATTGATTTTTTTTTTTTTTTTTTTTTTTTTGGTTTTGTTTTTTCTATTTTCGATTTGTTGTTGTTTTCCTTCGCATTGTCTGCATTTCCGTTTCTCTTATGATTTATTTTTACCGCTGTTGCTACAATATCGTGATTATGAGGTTTTATTATATGTAGAAGTGTGGATTTAGAATACAAGTGTGTGCACGCGTGTGTTTCTGTGTGTGTTTGTGCGTGCGTTTGTGTCTGTGACTCTACAGTACATGACTTTACATCTGTGTATGTAGACGGAGAAAAGGCACTCTGTGAGTTATACAAGGATATTCATAAGTATATGTTTGTGAGTGGGAAGGTGTGTTTGTGTGTATGTACTTGTGTTTGCGCGTGTATGTGTGTGTATGTTGTGTGTGTGTGTGTGTGTGTGTGTGTGTGTGTGTGTGTGTGTGTGTGTGTGTGTGTGTGTGTGTGTGTGTGTATGCATTTATGTACGTATGTATGTATGCGCGCGCGTGCGTGTGTGTGTGTGTGTGTGCTTGTACGTGTGTGTGTGTGCGTGTGTGTGAAGTGAAGTGAAGTGAAGTGAATGACTACGCTGTACCTGCACATGGTCTGGTGACGGTTAGCGAACCGGTTCCGCGAGGAATGCATGGCCTGTTTGGTGCGGCCAGATTCGATCAGCAGAGGGGGATGCTGTGTAGGGAAATTAGAAAGACAATCAAATAGGTTTTATGGCACAAGTCTTAGGGTTTATGTGTTTTGTCTACTTTGTTTACCTTTATGCTTTTTCTTACTGCTATTGTTATTTATTCTGTCTTGTTTACTGTAGGCTTATAGGAGGATGAGAGAATGTCAGTTGTAACTTGGAAATTAAATTGTAATATCTTGAAATTAAGTGGTGGGGATTTAAACTATGAAATTAAATCTAACGAAGCTAACTTTATATTATTTTACGAATAAAAGTGGTTGTGACTTGATGTGTATTTTTTGTGCACATGTAATTGTGATTATACAGCAAGTTTTAACGTATAAAAGTCAAAGGCTATATTTCATTGGTTAATATTAGTATAGTTAGTCTAGACTCTCGTCCATTCTCTCTGATGAAGAGATAACTAAAAGAAAACGGAGTCTTTAACTGGCAGGAGAGAATTTTCCCGGGGTAACATAAATCTTTCGTTATTTCACTTTTGAATATATTTCTTTTGCTTTACAACGCAAAGTAGATATTATTTACCTCTTAGATAACATTTCATTTACATAATTTTCACTTTAGATAGCAATTTTACGTAGATCCTATTTAATTTCTCCATAACTAACATTATTTTTCTGTGTTCTAGGATTTGTCGTACAAGGACAAGCACTGGCATGAGAAATGTTTCCTGTGCAACAAGTGCCAGGTGTCCCTCGTGGACAAACAATTTGGATCCAAGATGGACAAGATATTCTGCGGCCCGTGCTATGACTCCCAATTCGCCACGCGCTGTGACGGCTGCGGAGAGATCTTCAGGGCAGGTGAGTACCATAGGTGTTGTTGTTGCTGTTCCTTGTGCAGCGGCGGTGGTACGTACACCATTGCGTTAAACAGGGCTTTAAAAGTAATTGCAAAAAGAGGAAAAGGATGTAAAAAAAAAAACTATTTAGAGTGATTTCCATCGTGATACATATTCCACCAACGGCAGATTACCATATAAAGCCAAACCGTTTTATAAGCAATGCGACTTTTTGGCGTCGATCCTAAATATGCAAAATGCCGCGTATTAGCTCTCTCTATGCCGCTTACCATGTAGGCGGCGTGTAGACAGCATGCCTGCATAATTTACCCCCGCGAAACCGTCTGTTGCCAGCATGAAATTGAGGAGCACGAGAGCTTATCTGTGTCACGCTGTTCTTGAGAAGTCTCCGGCACGTCTTCAAGGAGGCTGCCGTGATGTATGGGTGCGGCGGCTGCCATTATGGGTCACGTCCCCAGGTGTTAATTTAGGACTTGCGACTTATGCGACAGATGCGGTCGGGTGGGGTCCTTATAGTGCTGCCGTGTGCTTGGAGTCGAGTTGTGCGAAAGTCGGTTTTGTGGGTTGTTGGGTGTCGTTGTCGTTGTTGTTGTTGTTTTGCGAGGTTGTGGTTGGTGTTGTAATGCTTGCGGTTGTTGCTTGCTTTTTCCACTCTTGACTAGGTTTTGTAATGGCCTCGATAGCTTGGATAAAATGTGTATGATTTTGATGTGTTGATTCGCCAAGCTTAGGTTTGCTACGGTTATTTCATAATTTTCATAGAAGGTTCTGTAATGGTTATTTTTTTTTTCGACTTTTCACTCTCTCTCTCTCTCTCTCTCTCTCTCTCTCTATCTCTATCCTTATCTCTCTCTCTCTCTCTCTCTCTCTCTCTCTCTCTCTTCTCTCTCTCTCTCTCTCTCTCTCTCTCTGTCTGTCTCTCTCTCTTCTCTCTCTCTCTCTCTCTCTCTCTCTCTCTCTCTCTCTCTCTCTCTCTCTCTCTCTCTCTCTCTCTCTCTCTCTCTCTCTCTCTCTCTCTCTCTCTCTCTCCCTCCCTCCTCCCTCCTCTCTCTCAGCGATCATTTGATATATCGCAATATTTGTGGTAATAACAACATGATCCATGAAGGACGCAATGCCCACGTAGGGAAAGTTATAACGAAGGGAAATGAGTGCAAGTTTCACCGGCGTCGAAGAACCTTGAAGCGCAAACACCAGCGTGACTACGGCCGGTCACGTGACCTTGCGAGATCGTCGTTTTCTATGACGACTTTCTGTGCTGTAACGCTAATAGGTCGGTGGTGTACTTTGCTCAAGGAAAATGTGTTTATGTCACAGTTTCTCGCTTTCTCTCTCGTCTTTCATTTTCTCTCTCTCTCTCTGTCTCTCTCTTTTTCTCTCTGTCTCTGTCTGTCTCTCTCTCTCTCTCTCTCTCTCTCTCTCTCTCTCTCTCTCTCTCTTCTCTCCTCTCTCTCTCTCTCTCTCTCTCTCCTCCTCCTCCTCTCCTCCTCTCCTTCCTTCCCTCCCTCTTTCTTTATCCTCCACAAAATGCCTTTTCACTCTTCACACCGTCCGTCCCCACCTTCTCCCATGCCTCTTTCATCCCCGTCTCTCTCTCGCCGCCTTTCCCTCCCTCCTCCAGCCCCGCGCCCGCCCGTCCGCGCGCCCTCAGCGGCCCTGGCACCCCGCCCACCGAGAGGAGGGCGTGATGCATGAGGGGCGACACCACCTGTTGTGTAGACCTAATACACGGGCGCGGATCGTGGGCGCATTCCCGGGGCGGCTGAGTCACGCGGGAGGCGAAGGAAGGTGCGAGGGGAAAAGGGAGGAGGCGAGAGAGGCAATAATAGCCTGGAGGCAAAAGGGGGGGGGAGGGGAGGGAGGGAGGTAAAGGGGGTGGAGTGATTTTTTTTTTTTTTTTTTTTTTTTTTTTTTTTTTAAGGGAAGGATTGAGTTTCGAATGTTGTTTGCAAGATGTAGGAGTTTGGGATGTTTTTTTTTTTTTTTTTTTTGTTCAAGATGGAGGTTGAAAATGCTGTTTTTTTTTCCTTTTCTTCAGCGCAAAGAAAGGATATGAGGTTGATTTATAGGTCAACCCACGTGACCTGAAAACCATACAATTCACGCTATTTCTCACACCAAAACGATTAATAATAATAAAAAAAAATGTTCAGAAAATGTAACATCTCAAAAAATGTTCAGAAAATGTAACATCTCAAAATGTTCCAAAAAATGTTCAGTCAAAAAATGTTCAGTAACATCTCCCTCGACCCAATCGCAGAGATATTTCCATCGACGGAGAACCAAACCATATCTCCAAGTGATGACATTCCCGCGTCACGTCAGGAGAACCTCGAAAAGGAAAGAGATCATCATTAAGCCCCTTTTCAGATACCGCCGCGTCACTTCGGCCATCAGCTCTAATCGTTATGAAAATAGAACGTCAGGCGCGAAGACTGAGGGTGAGCGATGGCGGGGTCCCAAGGCCGTCGAAATCCAGGCGGGAAATTTCCTAATTGTCTCGCCTCCAGATATTCGCGCCGAACGCTCAATAATAGAACTGTGTTTTATCAGCACTCGGCTCAAATTAGCGTTAAATTTGAATTAGTTATCTTTCCCTCCTCCCCCACCGATGAAAAAAGAAGAGAGAGAGAAAATAAAAAATATCCCGAGTTCGCCCGGCCATTTCAGGCGGGACTTCGATAACAGAAAACCCGAGTCCATTAACAACAGAAAACGGAAGGTCGCCGGCCTAAATACAGCGACTTGGGCCGAGCAGGAAATATTCAGATAGCCAATTTCAGAGTCACCTTGGGGTCTAATTGGCGGTTCTAATTTTGGTCACGCATTTCCCTAAAGTGGCGCGCCTATGAGCAGCGGGACATGACATCGCCGCTGATCGGGTTGCCTTTTGGAGGAAGAAAAAGGGAAGTGTAGCGCTCTCGAGCTAACCTGCGAGCGACCGGGAGGAGGCGGGTCGGGTTACCCGCTGAGGGCGCTGAGGGTGCGGGTGTATGGCCTGGGCGGGGTAGGAATAGCCTTAGGAAAATATGCCTGCTTATTTGTGTATCTGTGTCTGTCTGTCTCACTGTATCTCTGTATTAGCTGATGTATGTATAGATCCGTCTGTCTATTTCTGTATATATATATATATTTATATATATATGTTTATATATACATATGTATATGTATACATATATGTATATATATGTATGCATATATGTACATATACATATATATAGACACATACACATATGCATGCATACATACATACATGTGTGTATATACTCGTATGTATTAATTTAATGCGGAAGAAGGGGTCCTCGCATCATTTGCCTTTTTACGTCGTATCTTTTCAAAAACTTCAATTTCCAATGTGATCCTTACCGTGTTTGCTTCCCCAGAAGACGCAGGCTTTTTCCCAATTAATTGACTCCGCTCCGCCCGAAATGAGGAAATTCAGGTTAATAACCGCCGATCCCCGACACAAATAAGCGTAATAGTGATGATCAGAACACCACGGCGACCTTCAGCATACTGCAGATGCATTAACCTTTCCCTGCGTCTATATTTCTGGCTGATCCCCCTCTCATTATAAGCGAAACAAGAGATAGGGAAAACAAATGAGCGTCGGTCGAGCGTCGGCGCGGAGCATCTAATCCCCCGCATAGACGCCGGGAATCGCGCGGGAAAAGGTTTCTGATTATCTTCATCAAGTTGGCCCGAGTTTACGGTCCGGTTACGTCGGTTGATTACAGAGGAGGAATTCGTTCTTCCGGCGGCTGGCTCGGGGAAATTGTTTAACTACGTCGTTCACGGACTTTGATGATGTTGTGGCCGGGTGATGCACGTGGGTCGTTAGTGAGGGCTGAGCACGGCGCGCGCTCTCGTTGGTGGACGGGTTTTCACCTTGGCTCGTTTTAGGTACATAGAAATAGGTAGATTGATAAGATATAGTTTTGTGATATAGATTTATAATATAATATATTGATAATATAAATTTCAGATATATAGATCATACATATACATATACATGATACACGTACATCTTGCGTACGTGCATGCATTCTTCTTATATACATACATACATATACGTGCATGCATACATACATACCTGCGTACGTGCATGCATTTATATATATATACATACATCATACCTGCGTACTGCATTCTTATATACATACATACATACCTGCGTACGTGCATGCATTCTTATATACATACATACATACCTGCGTACGTGCATGCATTCTTATATACATACATACATACCTGCGTACGTGCATGCATTCTATTCTTATATACATACATACATACATACATACCTGCGTACGTGTATGCATTCTTATATACATACATACATACCTGCGTACGTGCATGCATTCTTATATACATACATACATACATCCGTGCATACATGCATATATACATATATAAAAAAACATACGTAAATGGATATAATACATCTGTAAGGATGTGCATACATATATGAAAAACATATATGTATATATATGTATGTATCTATCAGTTTTTATATATACGTGTGCGTGTAAACGACAGATAATGACATTGACAAGATGCTATTAAATCCCACTTTTGCGCACGGGTTACATTACACTATGTAATTAACTGCAGCGATCGGACCCAAGGTTTCCCCCCCCCCCGTCTATTAATTACATGCATAATAACACACAACAGAAGATGAAAGGCATTCTCCCAGGCGGGCGGCTTTAACCTTGGCATGGGCGTGGAAACCCCCTTAAACTGGGGCACTTGGGGATCTTGCGGGCGGCCGGGAGAGAGGCACTTCCATGATGGTGGAAGAGGGGGGAAATATTGGCTTTTCCTTCGTTCTTCTCTTTCGTTCTTTTCTTTCTTCTTTCTTTCGTTCGTTCTTTCTTTCTTTCTTTCTTTCGTTTCTTTTTCTTTCGTTCTTTCTTTCTTTCTTTCGTTCTTCTTTCTTTCTTTCGTTCTTTCGTTTCTTTCTTTCTTTCTTTCTTCTTTTCTTTCTTTCTTTCTTTC